ACCAGTCAGTCTACCATCAATAACTTAAAGACGAGTCAGACTACCGTCAATAATATACAGACCAGTCTGTCCACCATCATTAACTTACAGACAAGTCAGTCTACCATCATTAACTTANTCTCTGTATTCATTATGCAATATCAAACGTTTTATATAACTTTGAATACGTATTATTTACACATATACGACTGTTTCCAAAGCAGCTGGTTTCACGCTAGGATAGAATTGAGGTACGAATTCACTGTACCCCCATATTATGACAAACATGGAGGGCCGAGTCAGGGACTCGGTAGTGCGTCCATACCAGTAGTCTGTCACTTACATTATGTCTGTTTAACACCAGTCCTTACCATTTAATGTAGATTTACCTGAGTATCTGACGTATGTTATCATACATTATTGCCGAGAAAATGTGTAAATTAAAATCTAAAAAATCCGTATCAGGACTGGCACTGAATCTTTTACTGCTTTTACGTAATAAGATGTTTCTTTCTAGGTGATGACCGTTTTATTGCCGCAAAGGAATAAGTTCTAAATATTTACTGTCATTAATACGTATAGTATATTTTTAAGTGACGTCTTTGTTCTAGGTGTTGACAGTCTTACTGCCGCTGGTTTTTGTCCTGATGTTCCCGAAGATCGTGAACAAGTCATTTTTCGATACAAAAGTTCAAGATGTAAGTACCATTGCTACATCACCACACAACTGCTTCTAATTCTGCATTTTTCTGCGACACGCTCCTGTCATGGCAAAAGTGAAGGCACGAAAATAGCTGTTTAGATTGGTCTAAGGTAAAAAAAAACTGACCAATCGCTAGACTGATACCTCTCCTTTGAAGATTACAAAGGAGAGACGCCCTACTTCAAAGCCTGTCAATTTTTACCGTTACATGACCGCGATATTCTTTTGATGTACATCAAAGGATCGAACTAGTCTTCTTGTCTCTTCAACAAGGTGGCGCACACCGAGCCTTCAATTTTGCCATGACATATTCCAGGGGTGTAGAGAGCGAAAGTGAGCGTAACCCGAGGTGACAAATTAGAGCAATCATAAGTACAAACAATTTGCATAAAAGGGACATATTAAAGGGACACAATTTTGCAAGGCGGTTTTTTTTAATGAATGTATGTATTGTATGCACTTCCACTTATGTTACCTCGCTATCCCCATATTCATAGTCCGTTCCAAATGTCCAGTTTGACCACTTGAATTGTTTGGGAAAGCCCTACAAAATAGCGCCGATAACGTCACCTGACTAGGCTGTAAACACAAGTTGTGCGAGCGAGATGAAACGGTTTCCAAAGGGGCCCCCAGAGAGGGGCCGTCAGGCAACAGCAACTTCTTACCGCACTAGGAAACCAAGTTATATGATTTCTAAGTCCGTATTCAAACTTATTGAACAGTAATTATTCATCATTAGATGTTAATTGCACACTTGCCAATGTTCAGAATTTAAATTTATTAAACTTTAAACAAAAATTTGTTACCAATAAAATTAAACAAGGGTGGGGCACAAATTTTTACAATTTATCACAGCCTTCTCCCGTCATACATTTACAATTAAAGGTCAACAATGATAAAAGACATAAACATGAAGTAGATATATATTGAATTTAGTACCGGAATGTGGCCGGTACAGATGGTACGGGGCTAAACACCTTCCCTACACCAAGGGACAAACCTTTCTGATTTTTTTTTATATATTGCCGGGGCAGAGGAGGCCGGGTATTCATATTAGTACTTATTTAAATCTTGCATGTAAAAACAAAAATAATCGTTAAGTTCAGCAATATAATTAAATCATACCATTTTATTGAACCCGGTAATATTATAAATTATGTAAATCCACGGACTTAGATTCCACGTATCTTGGTGACCCAGAAAATACGCCGTGGGCCATCACAACAGGTACCCCTTGGAGGGCCTCATGGCAACATCAAACTAACCAGTCACTTATCCATTCCTTTCGCATGAACCACTGTATGATTATAGAAACACAAAGTAAACTCTCTCCAATACATGCCCATTAACATATTAAACTAAGTTCATCTGTGTTCAAACTCAGACAAAGATACTAGCGTGCTTTATAGTTTTAGATAACATAACATAAACAGCGCTAGCATTTCTGTCGATTCCATCTCAGCTTAACCGGCTATCCGCAAGGAATACATGCACCGTACTAACTGCTACGGCAGTTATTTTCTC